TGCATTGCTTAGAATTGCAGAGGGCAAAAAGAGCATTCATGTGGCAAAAGCTCACCACAAACACAAAAACATTCTTGGGCCACCACAGTATTGGACTTAAACATGTGAACATCTGTAAGCATACAAATGAAGAAGAGGATGAAAGCAAACTAAGAGCCTACATACAGTATCAGCTCATAGGATGTAAATTAGTCTTCATAATTTGTTCATTCATCTTCAGTAAGTGCTTCATAATAATCAGGTATATATACATATATATATATATAGAGAGAGAGCGAGAGAGAGCGAGAGCGGGAGAGAGAGTCTGAGACCACTAGTGAAAATGCTTCTGTCTAGCATTCTTTTTCAATTTAACTAATTTAATTTAAATTTAATATTTAAATGAATTTCAGAATTTCTTAGTATGTGGTATGTCCTCTTTTTGCTTTAATGACATTGTGCACTCGAGCTGACACAGACTCCACAGGTTTGTGTAAAACCTGATGATCCATTTTAGATCAAATCCATTGAAGTGTCACCTGAACATGTGCTTGGAAAGGATAAGACTCATGGAAAATCTGACCTTTTGTACAAAGGACTTAACATTGTCAACAGCACAAATTTGCTTCAATTTAAATAATGACCTAGAAATTGTGCAACATCTTGAATATTGAATAGTCAGGATATTGCACATTTTCAAAATTCTAAAACTTTCTGTTTATTTCCAGTTTTAAATAAAACAAAAACAGATTTCCAATGTGATCTCAGACTTTCATATATTTTGGAAACTAGACTAAATTAGTACTGGAATTGGAAGTAATGGCAAGGTCAATTCTGAAATTATAGATCAGATTTTCACCTTTCATTTCCTGATATTTACATCTAGATGTGTTAAACAGCGTAGAACATGGCACCTTTAGTTTGAACCCACCCATTTTTCAAGCAATCAAAAATATTGGAACATGTGACTGACAGGTGTCTCTTGTTGCTCAGGTGTGCCCTGTTAGAGTGATTGTTTAAACAATTAATAGCTCTGAATGTCTACTCTTGGTTTGAGTCCTGGGTTTCACCTGTGAAGACTACGATTCTGCTCATTTCTTGACTTCTTTTTTGTTCTTGAGCCTTCATTACTAAGGTTATTTTGTCCTTAGTGATCTCTAAGTTGTATTTACAAAAACTTTAATTTAAAAACATGACATGAGACAGCAGGACAGTGACTAACCAGTGTGTATTTGTGTTTATTTTATTTCTGCATGTTGGTGTAAAATGACATGGTGTACCAACATTTTTGGATGAAACTACAGGTCACACAATCATGACATACTGTATTTGTATATTATGATATATTATGAATTTAAATAATGTGCACAGCATATAGAAGATATTTTCAGTGGATTGCTATGAGGTTTACACTTCACTCACACATGCAAATTAAAAAAAAGAAAAAGAAAAAAGACAGGAAGCATAAAAGCAAGGGCAGGACAGTGCAAATGCTCAAGTTTGACATGGTTCTAATGTGACATGACAGACAGCATAACCTTTCTTATGAGGTCCAAGCAGAGGTAACAATTATTTTGTGTGGCATTTTGTCAGTTGTCGTTTAATATATGCCACAGAGGCATCCCCAGAGGATGCACCCACAGTCCCCAGAGAGAACATAAGCAATGCACTTTCTGGTATGCTTGTAGAAAACATGGTTAAATAAACTTTGAAGTCTTTTGAATGAACTTCATTAACTTGGCAAATTGGAGCACAACATGCGACTTCGTTGAGCTCAACTTTGTTGAAACATACGTGAGATTATTGGGATTTTCTTTCATGTGAAAAACCTATCAACAGAATCGGAGTCTTTCAATATTGGACTTCACACGAATGGCACTTAACATCACTAAAACATGCTGTTACACGGCCATGACAACTAGGATAGAGTTCATACAAATACAAATAAGTAAAGATAATTTTCCTACTTTAAAGATCTTTTTCCTACCCAGCAAGATGGAAATGCAATTTTATTCTGTGTTTTGTATAAATTTAGTTTGTTTTATTTTTACACACATACCATATTTCATTGCTATGAAATATTGTTTGTTGCTATGTTGACCAAATGGTTTTCAAGGGAAGAGAAGTGAGATTAGTGCCATAGAGTCCATACTGATCCCATATCCAATTCCTTTTCAAATTTACAATCCAAATCCCAGTCCATATTTTATTCCATTTCACATAGCACACACAGCTGATGAATAAATCAACAAATAAATAAATGGATAAATAAATACTGGTCTGATGAAATAAAGTATCATGCATTACTAACAGAAGGATAAAAGCATGCAACTTCATTCAGTATAGTATGTAGTAAAAAGAAACAGTGTTGGTTCGCGTATACAATTGAATATTCTAATATATTCGTATGTTGGAGTCTAAGTAATGTATTTTAAATTAAATGTGAATTATTAGAAAAACAGAAGAGAGAGGTTTAGCTCTTTTGATTTTTTGGTGTCCTGTAACATCCTAAATCTTCCTTTAGCTGGTCTTATATAAAGCAGGAAGTGTTGCAAGAAAAAAGTCCTTTCTGAGAGCATCTCATAAAATGCAGTGCCTAGTAATTTCACCAAGCATCATTAGAACTAGAGTTGGCATTGTGGCATCAAACTTTGTGGTCAGTCACACCATTACCATGTTTGATAACAAAATACATACAAGGAAAAAGCATACAATGAAAAGCAAGTGATACCCTGTGTAAGTTATGGTGGTGGACCTTTGATGTTTTCTAGCTTGTGGTTCAGGGGCTCTTGTGAAGATTGATGGCATCATAAAATTCAGACAAATACCAGAATATTTCAGCTCAATACTTGGTTGCCTCTGCCAGGCAGTATGGACATGGCCATAGAGAGAGCTTTCAACAAGATGATGAGCCAAATATACTTCCAAATCAACATAGAAATGGTTGAAGAAACATATTCAGTGTTTTGCAATGTCTCTGAGTTTGAATCCTACTGAAAACCTGTGGTCTGAATTGAAGAGGGAAGGGAAGATTATCCTGGTCAGGTTCATGGTTAATCCAGAGCTAATCCCAGAAACACTGGGGTCAAGGTGGGAGAATTCACCCCAGATAGGAGTGCAGTCCATCTCAGGGCCACATGCACATGCACACACACATTCACATTTAATTTAGCATAGCCAATCTGCCTACCTGCATGTTTTTGGACAATGTGAAGAGACTGCATAACCCAGAGGAAATTCATGCGAACATGGGGAGAACATACAAAACTACACAAAACCAGTAAACCAAGCTCAGGATTGTGTGAGATGGCAATGCTACCCATGCACACGTTTGTGTCACACTTGTCTTTCTATCTGTGTGCGGACCTTCCATTGACATACAGTCATGTGAAAAAATTAGAACACCCCATGAAAGCCTTATTGCCTTATTTAAACCTCAGACATTTAGTTTGGTTTGCTCTTAATTATTGAAGTGCGAGGTATCACCATGGTGAGATCCAAAGAGCCTTCAGAAAGAAGACTGTTGATGCTTATGAGTCTGGTAAGGGATATAAAAAGATCTCAAAAGAATTTGTAATCAGCCATTCCACTGGAGAACATTTAAAACAACTGCCAACATAGCCAGGTCAGGCCGTCCAAGCAAATTCACCCGAAGAGCAGACCGCAAGATGCTTAAAGAAGTCTCCAAAAACCCTAAAATATCATCACGGGACCTACAGCAAGCTCTTGCTACAGTTGATTTCAAAGTGCATGAATCTACAGTCAGAAAGAGACTGCACAACTTTAATTATCATGGGAGGTGTGCAAGGAGGAAACCTTTGCTGTATAAGAAAAACATGAGGGCAAGACTGAAGTTTGCCAAAGAACACATAGGCAAAGGCCAAGACTTCTGGAATAATGTGCTTTGGACAGATGAGTCTAAAATTGAATTATTTGGACACCATAACAGAGGGCATGTTTGGCGTAAACCAAATACAGCATTTCAGCAAAAGAACCTCATACCAACTGTGAAACATGGAGGTGGAAGTGTTATGGTATGGGGATGCTTTGTTATGAATTCTACATTGTATCAGAAGGTGCTTGAGGAACATGTGAGACCATCTGTCAAAAAATTGAAGCTGAAGCGGAACTGGACCTTGCAACATGACAATGACCCAAAACATACCAGTGAATCCACCTAGGACTGGCTGAAAAGTAAAAAATGGAGAGTGCTGGAACGGCCAAGTCAAAGCCCAGATCTAAATCCTATTGAGATCCTGTGGGGTGATTTGAAACGGACTGTGCGTGCAAAAAACCCCTCAACCATCACACAGCTGAAAGAATTCTGCACTGAGGACTGGGGGAAACCTTCTTCCAGTCGATGTCAGAAACTGGTAGATGGCTACAAGAAACGTCTCACTGAGGTTATTTCAGCCAAAGGGGGAAACACTAGCTATTAGGGCATAGGGTGTCCTAACTTTTTCCTCAGTTGAAATACTCATTTTTGTTGATTTCTTTTGTTTAATAAGTGAAACAAAGTGATTTTTTGTTGTTTACATGCAATTACATCACTTTCATCTACAGGTACAAATTAAAACAAGATCAGAAATTGACATGTTGACATTTCTTAATAAAGAACTGAATATTTAATGGTGTGTCCTAATTTTTTCACATGACTGTAAGTATTAATACAGTTAATTATTGCTATGCCTAGACCTATCTGTAGCCTTAAGTTCAGTAACCAAAAGGAAACATTTTGTTTCATTTTATTTAATTAATTTATTTTATTGTCAGAAATGCACTGTTTCTCTGGAAAATATCATGCATGTAAAATGTAAAATGAAAAAGAATTACGCATTATGTACCTCTCGATGAGACTATAGAATGGACAGATTCGTACATGAGTGAAGATCCAAGAATGCGATTTTCTTGATATTTATGTGAGATCATCGCCTTTCTTTTGCAGTAAATCAAGGATCCACTTAATATTTATATTAAATAATATTTATATTATATTAAATAATATTATATTAAACAATTTGTCCCTGGTGGTCTAGTGGTTAAGGACCCTGCACTCTCACTGGTGCGGCCCGGGTTTGATTCCCAGGCAGGAAACCAACCCAGCCACTGGGAGTGAACTCTCAGTGCCAGTCCCAAGCCTGGGAAAAAATGGGAGGGTTGCATCAGGAAGGGCATCCGGTGCAAGACCTGTGCCAAATCAAAAATGCGGACCAATGATCTGCTGATGCAACCCCTAACAGGAGCAGCAGAACGAACAACATACAATATCACAATTTGTATTTGATGTTTGTAATAAAAAAAAGGGGAAATAATTTGTATCAAAATATATTTGTTTCAAAATATGGGGACATTATGTAAAGTATTGCTCATGCCATTCCTGTGCGTTATCCTCACCACCTCTACATTTGCTTGTAGAGGTGAGTGCTTTTGATACATGCCAATATGATTGAGTCATCAGAGAACTGTACCTAAAATAAGAGGTATACAGGACCATGAGAGTGCACGTTAAGCATTGTTTCCTTGAATCTTGGTATGCAAGCTGCAGGGGGTCCACAGTCTGGCCAGTGGTTGAAGCTTTACTAGTATCAGCCTCTGAAGGGTCTTCATTATATATACTTCATTATATACTGTAGGAAAGTCTTTTGGTTGCCTTTTCTTAGGGTCTGGAGGTGGTCAGCTATTGTTAGAATGGTTTTATCAGTGTGACATAAGGTTGTCAGTAGGATAATAATAAAACCATTGCATAACTTCTTCAATAACATGGATTTATTTTGGTAAAATAATAATTATAAGGGAGTGCCCAGTAATGGGGAAAAAATACCACATGCATATATACATATATGCATCTTATGCAACTGCATTGTTTAAACACCAGAGGCATGCAATCTGTGCAATCCATATAGTTGAAATATATAGTATACAGAGCAGAGTTCTATCATGAAGAGCCAGAATTCTGTCATGATTACCAGAAATCATCTACACTTGTAAAGTGACCAATAGCTCCCGATAGCTCCAGATTGCGTCATCTGATACACATTATAAGTTATATGGCTATACAACCATGTTATAACAGTTAAAAAAGAGCTCTTCAGTAACTTTCCATCAACATCAGCAACATGCCTCTGTGAGCTACAGTGCCTGAGAAAGAGGCTGCAGAAATCATTTATTTTAACAGACGTATTTGTCGATATTGCACATTTTTTATTCAACTAAAAATTTTTACTAGAATTGATTTTGAGACATGGTGAACCTGTAGTACATTTAGTTTACAATATTAAACCTCAGTTCATAGCAATTTCTATTTTATTTAGTTTTATAAATAGACATAAATGCACTTTGTTTTGTATTGTTTAAGATTCAGAAATTTAAATAGGAGTCTTTTCAGGCATAATTTTTCTTCTTTCAAATTTTTTTCAAAATATTCTGATAATCAATCAGGAAGCCAGTATCCTGAAATGAATCAAATCAAATCATGACTGGAGTGTACCATTACACCACTAATAGTTAGTGGGCATGTTAGTGATATAAACATAATATACTGTATTCCATCAACTACGATTTCTATTGTTGACTACACTTAGCCTCCAAACTTATAAAATTGACTTGAGCTGAAACAGCCCTTAAGATAGCAATGGAGATTCCCTTTAAGGGAAATGGCTTTGGGAAGCTGGCAAGGGTGCCCTAAAGGCAGTATTGGAAAGCAGCCATGCTGTTCAGTTAGACTTGGCCACTTTTCAAGGTTCAGGCTGAGGAAACATCTATGCAGGATCAATACCTAGCTATATACTGAATCCACACATTACATAATATCACGTAGTGACATCACATGAGCTTTTGTGTGTGGTAAAGGAGAAGGCCGGCATGTGGAGTGGGTTGTTTAACCCATGTTGCTTAGAGTTCGATTGATTAAATCCTGGCAGCTGCTACATTCCATGGTGGAAGAGAAGGTGCACTGCAAAGAATGACATCTTAGAAAGTGAAAATATTTTGAATATAGTCAAAGTTGTCTAGTATGTCCTATAATTACATTAAATTAAACCAGTTTTAAGTTTTAAATATTCTTATTTTTTGCTTATTTTCATATTGGCAGTTCATGTTGCTTCTTTCTAGAAATAAATGCTTAAAATGAGCAAAATTATCTGTACAACAAAATATTCCAAGATTTAAATTAATTAATCTATTATTTGGTTTATTGTAACCTTATAATATGAAATACTAGATAGAATGGACTATATTCAAGATATTTTCACTTGATAAGAATGTTTTGCAGTGTGCTCTCTCAGTCATGTGATAAATTTTGTTATGCCTTGGATGTTCAGCCTTTGTCACATAAGATGAGCACAAATTAAATCAGTTCAAGTCTATTTTATTTATATAGTGCTTTTAACAATAGACATCATCACAAAGCAGCTTCACATAAATCCAGATGTGGGTCTTGATCTCTAATGAGAAAGCCAGAGGCAATAGTGGCAAGGAAACTCTTCCTGAAAGTACATGAGGAAGAAACCTTGAGAGGAACCAGAGTTAAAAAAGCTGCTGGTGCCCCTAAAGACATAGCTGGTATCACATGTTATATAATAGAGCCTCCTATAAACAGACTACTGACCTCACTGAGAGGGTTGAACCTGTTGAGACATGTGAATTGAAGAGGAGTGTTACTCTTGTGGGCAAGTCTTAGTGTTAATCTTTGTTACAATGTCACTGAGTCATCACTCATTCTCCTCACTGTGAGGGCTCTAATGCCTGAGTTGGAGGCTCACTGTCTCTGCCTAAGGCTCACAGAACTTCCTCCACCTAATCTATACTCCTCTCACTATCACTAGTCCTCTTCTTCATCTGGGTGTACACATCTACTGCTCTAATCTTCCCCATCAGCATAGCTAGTACTCTACACTAAGAGTAAAACTATTGCTAAAGGCAGAAGAATAGCTGAACACAATGAAAAAGGTCAAGGTTAACCATGTTGAAATATTCAATGTTTTTTACATTTATTATCACTTCCCGATGGAGGATTTTATGCAGATCTGATCTGAATGGTCTCTGTTAACTCTCTTTAAACAAAAACTTTCTGCAAAACAATACAGCAGCTAATAAAGAATGTGTGTGTGTGTGTGTGTGTGTGTGTGTGTGTGTGTGTGTGTGTGTGTGTGTGTGTAAAAGTAAAAAGGTATCACTACTGATACCAGAAATTGTATTTGGAAAAAAGGAACTATGTCAGCCTAATTACTAAAACACCTAGCAAAGGCTCTTTCTCATTCATAAACAGAGACAGAAATAAGAGGCGAGCCAGCTGTCTGCTGGATTGATCGCTTTATTAAAAGCACTCAAATGAATTATGAGCAATTAGAGTCATGAATGACACATTAACAGGGGCTTTGGATACACATGTTAACACTCTTTGTAAACAAATCCATGGTCCTTGTTAGAGAGTTCCTGATCTCCCACATGCCTTTTCTGAGTGTTGGAAAGCGCATCCAAATTATGATAGATCTGGATTTTGAACAGCCTGGTTTTGAACTTCATTTAACCTCAATTAGAGTGAGGATTCTGGCTGTTTGCTGCCACAGAAAGAATGAGAAAACAGCAAGTATGCTTAATTTCCCTGTTGCTCTGCATGGAGTCTAGTCTTGGATCAGAGATTGATGACAATTACGGAGTTGAAGTTATAGCCTAATAGTGGTCTAGGGCTAATGGTACAATTGGATTAATAAGGACAACTGATTTGGCATTTGCTAATGTCTGGGGGAAAAAAATCATGTGTCATATCTTGCAATAAATAAATGCAATATCCTTTAGCAATACTGGGAGGTTTTGCTATTTATTAACAAAAGGTTGTAAATTGTGAATTTACAACCTTTTATAAATTTCTTTTGCCATGGGCTCTTATTTCAAGTTAAGATCCTTACATGCTGTCTGTCACTTTTTGACTAATGATGAGATAAGGAGACTGTCACATCCATTTGGGAATGACTCAATACTTATAAACTTGTGTTAGTGAAGTTATAGGAGATGTATAGCGTCTTTAATAAATCAACAAACCATTTTCTCACTATCCAATTTCCTACAGACTAAGGCTCTGTGAAATAATTTCAGTATTTGTATCTATATGGTTAACATATGTTCACCAAATCAAAACATGTGTTTCCTAATCTTTTCATAAACCTTTTTGAACACTTGTTGCCTAATCTATGCAAATACATGTCAATAATGGCATTCCTTGAAAAACAAAATAAAAAACAAAAACAAATAATATCCATCCATCCATCCATCCATCCATCCATCCATCCATCCATCCATCCATCCATCCATCCATCCATCCATCCATCCATCCATCCATCCATCCATCCATCCATCCATCCATCCATGCTAGCACTAGCACTTTTTTTTAAAAACCATGCTGCCAGGGCCTTTAAAACCACTAGCTAACACTTTGCTAAAATCTAAAAGCTAAAAAAGCTAGGGTTCTCAACCTGGCCAACGACCCTGTGTTAATTAATTTACTTAAAACTCTGTTAGACAGAAAGTATATTGTGCTCTTGCACATGCAAGGCAAGACACACAACTGTCACAATTACATTGTCATTTACAATGTAAAATGATTCTCATCAAAGAGAGAAAGATGGCACATGTTCTTCTTATATAGACATTTAATAATTACTGTATGTAAGAGCCCAAGATAGGCACTCTGCATTCACTTTAGGACTAATTAGAGGACTAAGCTTGTGTATCGCTCTGCTGTTATATTATTATAAATATACATAACCATTGTATACAGTATGATTAAAGAAGTTGTAAATGGAAGTTACAGTAGAACTCTCAGAAAGTTGCATGATGTGGCAGTAGGCTACAGTCTGAAATATAGTCTGTGTGTTGTCTAGGGGCTTATAATACAAAATACACATGGCAGAACTTAAGCTGAAACACATGCTTTGTGCAACTGCCCAGTGTAAAAGGTCACTCTGATTAACATTGGAGCGTATAGGACACAGTGCCTCTGTGGTCTGGTGTTAAAAGAGGAGCTCCGAATTGAATAATTACCCTAAGCTAATGAAATGTCAGTAACAACTTTTGGTTTAAAAAAAAAAAAAAACTAT